GAATACCACGCTTGAGCGGGAAATTCGACTTTTTTAAATGTAAAGTTATCAAAAGTTGTGTTTTGAAATTAAAAGTTAATTGAATGGTATTTGTTTTCTACTTATTTTTGAAAGGTTCGGTATAATATACCATTTATAGACCTTACACTCGGGGTATTCCACAAAAAATTACCCTGAGGGATCTATAAGGTCTATAACTGATAAGTATTCAGTGGCAAGGTAGCCATGGCAACTGGTCATGATATTCTAACAAACTTGCATCTATTTGAATATTGCAAATCATTAAAAACTTGCATACATGCATGTAGCATGACCTGTTGCTATGGCTAGCTTTGCCATAGCCTGTATGAGCCTGCAATACGGCGCAGGCTAGCTTTGCCACTGACAGTGATTATAATTGTACATAGCCTCCTCCGCAGGCCTCTCTATGGTGCCTGCGGAGGGGGCTAAATTGTACATACAAAAGCAAGAAATTATAAGCATTGAAGGTATTCTTATAAAACCGCCCATGCCAAGAAGTAGAATTAGAATATTTAGCTAACCTTAGACTTTGTGCAAGGTGTTTGATATATTCATATTGCGTTTAATTTCCTACCTCCTGAACAGGTGTCTTAGGGGCTGTTTACATGATGAATATTTACATGATGGATGATTTTGATGTATTGAAATAAGTCAGTACGCTAAACAAAAGTTAAAATATTGTTAAAAGAACTCAAATTTTATAAAGAAGATCTTGTAGTTCAAGAAGATTCTGATTATTGCTGCTTGAACAACCTTTCGTTTACAGTTTACTATATAAATCTATCTCTAGAAAATAATGTGTTTTTTTTGCTCAATTGCGCACCGTGACTTACTTCAATACATCAAAATGATCCCGCCTCATCTTGTACTGCCAATGTGGGATGATATAAACAGCCCCTTATCACAGAATAAAGACACACAGAAGGTCGACTCAGCCAAAGCGTAACCGCTGCCACGCCATGATTCGTCATCAAAATGCTGACGCCATGGTCCTAGCCAGTGCGCTTATGAGAGGCATCCCCCCTGGACGTCCGCCATTTTGAATATTATCAGGGGATGAATGCCTCTCATAAGTGCACATGCTGCCTTTCCTTGGGAGTGAGGCAGCACTCTTGCGATAGTAACTTCTAGTTTATGAATAAAATTGTCCAGCATCAGAATTCCAAATTTTGCCTCAGAGTTCTAAAACTAACTACATCTATATTTCTTTTAAAGAGATCTTACACATAAATACAGAGCTGCCGAGAGGTTGCGTGGGGTCCAGCACGCATCGTAGCCAATCCAGTGGCGTAACTAATATGGGCTCGGCCGGGAGAGCCCGGTGCTCCAACCCCAATGGGCCAAATGGGGGGGGGGGGCACAAGCTGTAGGGCAAAAACATTGCCCAGGACCTCTGTGTTACAATGTCGTTTTCTGATCATCACTCCATCAGAATTCTGTAAAATCTCTCTCCAAAGTCCAGGAAATGGCATTTCAGAGACTCTAGATTCAAAAATTTTCCGGGTGAGCATGCCCTGGACCCCCTAATAAACTTGTGCGTATACGGCTGTCGACTCGTGCTTTTGGCACTTATACCAGGGGGGGGGCTTCGAAAATTTTGAACCGGAGGCCCCCTGATTAACGTTACGCCACTGAGCCAATCACGAGCTTGATAGTAAATGGATGCCCCTCGACTTGCTATTTAACATCTGCGCATAACGAACAAAATTATCCAACGTTCATGACATATGCTTTCCTTCCTGCAACCAACGCAAGAAGCGGAATTGTATATATGTATCATGATACCCTCGCCCCGAACTTACGACCGCTAGCAGCCGATCATTCTGTATCATTAATAAAGTTGTAGTGTAGATCGGATCGATACAGATCGGATGCAAATGATTTTTCTATTACTATAAAAATATAGTCAAATACATAGGTGAGCACATTTACCAACTATTTTAATTTGGCGAATCGGTTTAGCCGAGAAAATCTAGGCATAGACTTTAGTTTATGTAAATCATTACATGATTGAACTAATTAACTTTAGTTTATTTTTTTAGTTATTTAGCTTCGCCTTATAAAATATACACAATATAAAATAAAAACAGTGCATATAATGCAAAACTACAGGAGATGGGAACACCACAACAGATTTACCGGCATCAATTACTGTGGTGGGTAGTTACTTAATTGGTCAAAAATAAAGTTTCACCGTTTGCGATTAAATATTTTAATTAAAATTTGTACTAAAACGTCTTCTAACTCTTCCGATTTGTTGATTTGTTAATACTGGCAAACCATGTTGTAACATTGTCAATCAAAGAACAAAAATCTCGATACTTCTCCTTTCTCCATTTTTCATCATCCATGCATTTGTTTAAGACAAACTCTGTAGTTACGTCTTTTTCAGAAAATTGATTGACAGCTTCCACGCACTTTTCACGTATATGAAATCTATAATGAAATACACGATGATACAATTTCGATCGTCTTGCACAGTATTTGCCAACTTCAAATGACATATGACTCGGTAGACTAGTTTTTTGAGGTTCGAAGTTTTTTATGTCGTAGGGAGAGCCCTTGAATGTTAGTTTCTTTGAAGCAATTCTACCAGTTCTTGCGCACGCTTCACAACCGTCATGTGGATATACTGTTGAGCACTGTAATATCGGGAATGTTTCCATAGCTTCCTCAAAACCACTCTGCCAAGCTTCACTCTTGAGCATATTTTCTAAATCCTGCATTTTTCTTTCAATTTTATATTTAGCGACTTTCAAACCGTCTTGGCTGTTAGCGCCGTCTAAAAACTCGGGATCAAGGCAATAGCTCAGCATGTACTGTAAATAAATTGTAAATTCTTTCTCCAGGTGCCGTTTAGGATAACCTGCAAAACAAGAATTTTATTGACATTCCAGTTACGGGAACACTAAATGATTTTTTACCACGGTAAGTGGATCTAGATGGTGAATACACTCACTCAAAACATTTTCACTTAATCACAAGGTGCGATTTCAGTGTTGGCAGAATAAGCCGTACCACGATTTGTGTTTCAGCTTGCTGAGTTTACCTGAAAATAAACGTCCTTCCTGGAGATAGTAGGTTAAAAATTTTCTTGTTATTGCTTATACTATATCTTAAATCTGATTGTGAACCGAACTCTTAACTTAATCCTTAGTATTCACCTAACCAACTCATCACAATTCACAACAATACTTCAGCTACTGATAGAACTCCCCCCCCCCCTTCCATTGTTCCATCAATCACATTAGACAGATTTAGGAAAGACGACGCGACCTCAAAGACGACGTGAAAATGGCGTCAAAATGGCGTGGCGCATCCATATATGGACAGAACACGCCATTTTCACGTCGTCTTTGAGGTCTTTTCTAAATCTGTCTATTATAGTAGATATAACTTACATTGGTCGCTGTTGGTTGAATTTTCATCATCTACATCTTCACTATAAACCGCATCATCGTCATCATCACGTTCATAAGTATTTTCTTTTATGTCCGATGTGTCTGCTTGATCTTCGGCAGTTGATATCTCTAAAAAGAGTATTTGAGCAGAGCAGTATAAAATGAAGCCTAGTCTTTCGTATGTTGTCGTGGATTCCCGACCCCCAACAGCACTAATATATCAACCCCCATCAGCTCTAATATACCAACTCTCTATATCAAATTAAATTAAATATCAACTCTCTTTGCTTTTTAAAAAGTTGTTGTGAGGACTACCCGACTACGAGATTTCTCCAAAATTTCGTACTCAGATGGGTGACGGCTACGATTTTTCTGTCAGTACGAGATGATGTGTTTTTTACGAGAAAAAATCTTTGTTAATAATAACATTTGTAATAATAAACAATGTAGTTTATCATAAAGGATTGTGGTTTTTCTACTGCTCCGTGTTTTACTAATAGCCAAATTGTATGGATATACCCGACGAGATAGAGACTGCGGGGTGTAACTCCCTCCCCGGTGTAACTCCCTCCCCTGTGTGTATCAAGCTGCACTGATGAGGCGTAGGACGCCGAAACATGCATGTTTGCAGATTGTACTATTACGCTCCTTCATGATCACTACGGTGTTGTAGAGCACTTTGTGGAGTTAATTGGGTGTCCATTAGCAATAAAGCAAAGCTCACTTCCCTCGTGGTTGTTTGAGCACTCTGGCCCCATGACACCCTGCGCATGTCTGGACGCGTTGATGGCCTGTGATGTACCACATGCGCTTGGGATGAGGCGTAAGACGCCGAAACATGCATGTCTGCAGATTGTATTATTACGCTCCTTCACTTCGGTGTTGTAGAGCATTGACTGCTTTTGAGCAAAAGTCTCGTCGTGGTCAATAAACATGCGACCAGGAGGGCCAAATTTCGTGGAAAATGTAGCCCAGTGGAAAGGCAAATTAAAGGGCAAATTACCTGCGACACCGGCACTTAAAAGGATTTTGCTCAATTAATTTCAAGATCACACCAGTAGTTACAATCGATTTCAACTTACTTTTCACTCAAATGTTCCGAACTTCGTTCCGAACTTCGCAATTAAATTCGTTGTCAAGTTCAAAAGTTCATAATGAAATTCACAAACAGGTTTGTAAACTGGGCATTTGATTGGCTGGTTTGATTTAATAGCCAATCAGAGGCTTTGTTTACAAACCTGTTTGCGAATTTCATTATGAACTTTTGAACTTGGCAACGAATTTGCAAAGTTTGGAACGAAGTTCGGAACATTTGAGTGAAAAGTAAGTTGAAATAGACTGTAAGTTCATAAAATACATATAACAACCCTGGAGAAAACGTCTGGGAGATGTGCGAGGCAAGAAACGATTTTACTTCTAGGTTCTGACTAGACTTGCCAGGAATGCAAGTCCGCCCTCAGAATTTCTTACCTAGCCTTATTGGGCGAGTAAAGTTAAGGTGGGTGTCCGCAAGAAATACCGCGGCTTCCCTTGAACACATTATTTAATATTTTTATTATACCCATATGGCTGAGCAGTATTTACCTGAATTTTCGTATGGGGAACTTGTTTCTGCTGCATCCTGAGTCACTTCCGAATCAGTTCCTTGTGACTCACTGTCAAAGATTGTTTCTGTCTTCATCTTTTTCCTTCCCGTGCTATCTTCATCAATTTTATCGTCCACATCATGGCTCATATTTTCTTTTTCAGTTCGAGGTGGTATTGAAGGGACTAATTGTAATGTGTTAGCTGAATGTTCTAATTCTGAACTGTCGTTCTTCGGTTGGCTGTCAACAATTATAACACTTTGCCTTTGGGAATCTTCACCATTTGATATTTCTAGAAAAATATTTGTACGACGTGACAATTGCACCTTTTTTATACTCAAGGCAATATTTACAACACCTTGCAATACAGTTTATCTGGAAAATAAATTTGTCAGTCTGCATTGAGATGTCAGACAAGTGCAAGAGCAATGCGATTATATTTTTCGTTTTGAATCAGGAAAATCAGGAAAGGATTAATTTTGTCCAGGTTCAACTTTCTCTACAACTCGCAATTTTTCGTATAGCGACACCATTTGCACACTAGGTCTAGGAGTGTTTGCAAGTTGCAGCAAAAATTTCCTTGTGTAACATGCTCTTCTAATTTCTGTATCTAATGTTGGAGTTAAAACAAACCGAAATAGAAATAAACAGAGCTAGAAATTCGGGCAGAAGTTGAGTGATTTTCAAGACCAGACATTCGGGCATTCATGCCAAATTTATTACATGTCACATGATGTATATACTAGTTTCATAGTATTCTGACTCTGCAGAGTATAACGAAAAATGCGTTCTCTCGAGTGGGAATCAATGATCATATTATTTTGTTGTATTCTGCAGTTAATCAGAATAATTATAACAAAACGCTTAATCAGTTAATGTCTGTTCCCTAGGGAAATAGTTAGTTTTGTTTTCCCTCGAATTTCAATGTTTCCAACGACTTCGTCTCGGGAAACATTGAGTCTCTCGGGAAAACAAAACAAACTGAGGTGAATAATTGTTTTAGCATATACCATAACAAAACAAAACTAACGAAAATATTTTTAAAACAATTTGTATTTCAGCTCCCGTAATAGTTGTAAAGAAAACAATATTTACAGGCTTTCGGTAATTTTATAACTAGTTTTAATCATTAAAAATAGCTTTAAAGAATACTTCTATACACACTGCGGTTAAACAAAATTTTGTGGCTTCTTCGCATTTTGCGAAACCGCGGTTTCATTAATTACAGTACAAAAATTTGCTTGTCTGTAACCGGAACGAAACGGGAAGCCATTTTTCTATATCTCTGAGGATGGCCCTCTTAGAGATGGGCCGATATCGATACCAAATACTCGATACTATCGATATCGGGGTTTTGAAGAAAAGTATCGATACTGGCAAGAAATATCGATGTTTTGATATTTCTGCGCCTGCGATATTTTTCATTTTGGTCAGCGGCATCATCATGAAAATGAATACCAACTGAGCCAAACTGAGCCTAAATAGGCGTAAATACTATAAAAGTAGTTCATTTTCTATGGAGCTATAATGGTCCACGGGCAGGATGGGAGTTTCAGCTGGTTGTGTTGGTTGCAATCACTGACATATATTATTCAATGTTTATATTGTTAGCGTTATTGCCGTTGTTAATGCGGATTAAAAATAGTCTTTTTGTTGTTGTTATGCCTTATGGTTGTTCGAATTGGGAAAATATCGATATCGGTATCGATTTCGAAAAAAAAAGGCAAATATCGAGGAAATATCGTATCGAATGAAAAAGTTGGTATCGCCCATCCCTAGGCCCTCTGGCTCTGAAACAGTTGATGTATAAATATACCTGAATTCTCGCATACAGAACTGGCTGCTGCACCCTGATACACATTGGAATCATTGCCCTGAGACTCACTGTCAAAGAATATTTCCCTCTTTCTCTTTTCCCTTCGCGTACTTATAATTTCTTCAGTATCATCATCTATATCATGTCAAAATTATACAGGTATACACAAATTATTACATTCATGTAGACTGTTTTAAAGAAGTTCTCGACGGTGAACAGTGACTTAAGATCTGCAAATATCTATGTAATATAATTAAAATTTATCTGTAGCGGAACATGAGAATACTCTTGGGGAAAGCTGCGGTGAGGGTAAACGTCGCTAAGGGTGCTCTAGAATAATCATTCAGAACTAAAGCCCTGGGCAAACTAGGAAACATTGTTGTGGAAACATTTGTGATTATCGATGTTTCTTCATATGTTTCCTTGTTTGCCCACCCGTGGAAACATTGTCGCGGAAACAAAATTTGCTTTCCGAGAAGCAAAAATGTTTCGTAGAAAATTCAGAAACATTTGATTTTCCCTATGTTTCTTACTAATGTTTCCCTATATTTCTTACTAATGTTTCCTAGTGTTTGCCCACTCTGGGAAACATGGCGAAACATTGGCAGGAAACAATGCTTCCGCAACAATGTTTCCTAGTTTGCCCAGGGCGTCTTTTTGAAATTAAAATGGCATCAAATCCTGGTTACATCACATGCACACGCGATATCGTCACAGAATAAGTCATACAGAAGCCCGACTTCTTGGTTTTTCCCATGATTTCCAATGATTTGGGCGTAACCGTAAAAATGCTGACGCCATGGTCTTAGCCTAGCAACTAGTCACGTCATCATAGCGGTTGGCCGGAATTTTTCCGGCTCCCACAATTGCTCCTTTTGCATACATTTATGTTGTAATTTGTGGAATATTTCATCCATAAACCTGTACATCCACTGATCCACAAGTGTTTCCACCTGGTAACGTCTTTATGCGTGCATAGAAGTCACAAGAGTAAAAAGATTCAACAACGCTGTCAAGCGTCGACGAGCTTCGAAACAGCGACCGTTAACAATCGCTTTGAAACTGATTCTTGGATTGCGCCTTATCTTTTACGTCTTGTATACAGTGTTTCAGGGCCTCTTTTAACTGATAGTCTGGGGGGACATGTTTCCTCCAGCCCTCTTACTGGCCCCTCCAGTCGGCTATTTTGTCCTCCCCCCCCCCCAGTGAGGTCCCTAAGAACTACCTGCAGTAGGTGGTCAACCAGCAATTATATATCAAAGTGATAAATTAAAATGATGTTAAGTTGTTAACATTTCTGAATTTGACCATCATCTTGCAGGCCCGTAACTAGCTATGAGTCAGTTGACTCACGGTAGGAATTTGGGGACTGAAATTTAAACATCGCCAGAAACCTAAACCATGGCTGAAATAATTTGCTCGAGTGGGAAAAGGCATGAAATGGTATTTTAGGACCGGAAATTCTAGTTTAGTTTTCCAAGCAAAGATACTCCAAAGAGCCCACCCTATCTTGCTCTTCAGTGGCACTGAGAAGACGAATGCGTCGATGTCAAGTACCCCAATATATGTAATACAGTACTGTAGAATTTGAAGTGTGGTGAATGATAATACTATATACCACGCACATTTTCATTACCGCATCATCACATCATGTTATCTTATTGAGACTGGATTACATTTGGGAGACTGTGAAATTGCAATAATTGTGTCACTGTTTATAAGGTTAATTTCTTGTTGGAGCACTCCTAAAAATGCTTATCTGAGCTTCAAGAAATCCAAAATTTCAAAAAAATAAAAGGGGGCGGGGGCATGCCCCAGACCCATTTAGACGGCTCGCATCTTCAGTGCTCGACTCGGTTGTCCCAGAGCTAGTTACAGGCCTGATCTGCTGGCTTATGACGTATGGTTATTAGTTAATTAATTAAACCATGCATATACAGGGTGTATCATAAAAAACGGAGTCCTCGCTTCAAATATAAATTTCGAAACGAATATTAGAGTAAAACGTTCAGGTTTACATTTATTTTAAAGCATAGACATTCAGCTTTCCAACGATGGGTTGTTTCGTAGATTTAATTCAGTAGTTCGTGAATAATAGTATTTTAAGTGATTGCGATTGGAGAGTCAAAAATTTGAGATGCAATAACAAATCGGTAATTGATGAAAATAACTTATTTTGTCAACAAAACGAGCAAATTGAGGCATTTTGGCAATAGCTTGTAAAAACTAAGTAATAAAGGCTTCCAATACACTATTTTAAATTCACTTGCTGCCTTCAAATGTGTTTATATTCCCAGCTGAAGCGTGTTTTAGCTTGCCGTCAACTTGCTAATTTATGTTTACATTGCGCCCGATTCGATGGCGTTAGTTCGGACGATGCATGGACATAAGATTGTTTTGATGATTTCTGGAAATAATTTAGGATTTTGAAATAAATAAAACAACCTAATCTCTTTTAGAATGTTTTTAACAAGTTTTTACTAGTTTTTTCTGATGCGGCAACAAGAACATTAAAGTTTGAACAAGAAAATTCAAACATTGTAACCGACTATGGAATATCATAGTAAATTTGTATAATTAAGCGGCATCTAAAAATTATAGGTTTTACTAAATTTTCTCCTGTGCAGTTATTACTTGCATTAAAGACACGGATGACCATTTGTTCGAAAGATAAATGAGCAGTCCTTAAAATAAGCCTAAAACCGTTTTATTAAATATAGCAGGCCGATAGTTATTAAGTACAAAAGATGGACTCCGTTTTTTATGATACACTTGCCGACCGGAACTTCTCCAGGTCCCCCGCTAAATACCCCGCCCCCCCCAAGTTACATATCCTTAAAAGAGGCCCTGCAGTGTTTTTCATCAAATTATCAAGGGGTGTTGAAACTAACCCGGGACCCCAAGAAGCGTCGCATCGTAGTGTAAAAGGTCTCGTTTTGAATGCAGTTTGACAAGTTCAGTTAAAATGGATAACACTACATAAAGGATACATAATGGATAACAATACATAACCTTGAACGTTTTCAGAACCTGGTTTACTCCGATGATCTGGATATAGTCTGTGTTAATAAGACTGGATATAATCTGTGTTAATAAGACTTGGCTTTCAGGACATGTTTACAACGCCGAAATTCTACATTCGGGTTATTGTATTGTCAGTTATTGTATTGTCAGGAGGGTGGTGTCTTGCTGGGAATTAAGACTGCTGTGTTCAATCTGTTTATTTGTTTGTTTAAATACTTTATTGGGTAAATATAATAATTATTTCAAAAGACGTACTATTACTATGCATGCACAGAACAAATATTACCCAAATGGAAGAGGTGCGAACGGAACGTTAATAATCTGTGCGTGAAATCGAACATAATCATGATCTAGAGATTGCTATGGCTGAAATAACAACTGCGAAAGACACAAAATTGCTTATTTGTTCGTGTTATCGTCCACCGGAGTACCGGACCACAGAGTAGAGACACAAAGAGCCGTAACTGACCGTCGTAAACACTGCGGAAGATTACACGTTATCATGTGCCCACTTTTTTTCAGGCGACCGGGAAATGATCAACTGCGCGTGCTCAGCAAGTTTAAAGTGAGTCGTCATCAGGTCATCATCCAATCAGATGCATGCATCTAGTAACTTGCCGAGCATGCGCACAAAAAAAGTGGGTACACTAGTTACAACTCTGTATGTCTCTCCTCTGTGACCGGACGCTGATAAAACTTGGATTAATAAATTTGAAACTTTTCTCCAAGATGTTTGCACACGTCATTCAAAAATTGTAACGCTGGCGATTTCAATTTTCCGAGCGCGAGCTGGAACTCGCGTGAAAATGCTTGACGTTAATGAACTCATTTATCAAATTATTAAATGACTTTTTCTCGGAACAGCTAAACACAACTCCCACCAGTGGCGAAAACATTCTCGATCTTGTCATCACCAATGTTCCGGACCGAGTCAAGATATGCGAATTTTTGAAACCAAGTGATTCAGACATTTCAACCGACCACAACGCTATTATTTTCGACCTCTTCCTCTCATGCAATCCTTTCCCAAAGATAAAACGTTCAGTGTTTGATTTCCGACGCGCTGACTTTGATGGTCTACGAAGGCATCTTCAATCCCTCGACCTCAGTCAACTCATATCACTAGAACTGCGATATCAACCAGAATTGGCTCGCGTGGAAAAATGCGTTTTTGGGCGCGGTATCGAAATTTGTGCCGACAAAAACACTACGAGGTAGAAACCATCTCCCTTCAATGAACAGTACAATACTTCACTATATCAAGAAGAAAAACTCCATAAGAACGAGAATTCCTGTCATCCAGGTGAACACCTCAAGCACAGATTTCGAGAACTCCGCAGGGTGAACCCAGTCCTAAACGTTTCTGGTCGTTTTTCAAGATTAAGTCAAAGGTATCTAATATTCCGTTAAAAGTCTCGGTTAAATCTAGTGAAAATCAAATCAAAGAAGTATTCCAACAACGTAGTTACGTAGGCATTGCGAATACTTTTAACGAATATTTCGCCTCAAACTTACGCATGACAACAATAGTGACCACAATCCAGGAGAACACTCAGATCCAGAAATTGTTTTGGAAGACATAACACTGACTAACGACGAAGTAATAACCGTATTAACTAATCTAAATAACAATAAAGCTCATGGTCCGGCCGGAATCCCAGCACGTTTGTTGACGGAAACATTATCCCAAATCGCTCCTTCACTCTGCACTCTCTTCAACAAACATTTACGTTGTGGTGTTCTTCCTGATGATTGGAAATTAGCGAATGTCATACCAGTACACAAAGGGGGTGAGAAATCCTATGTAGAGAACTACCGTCCAATCTCGTTGCTTCCCCTTATCTCCAAAGTCCTCGAGCGTTGCGTTTTCCATAACATCCAACATCATGTTTTTCAACAAATCAACCTTTTGTCAACCCGATTTTGTTCCACGAAAGTCATGCGTAACACAACTGATTGAAGTATTCGAACAGATAGGTTGGAAATTAGACAACGGTAAGCAGATAGACGTGATTTACCTGGACATGTCGAAGGCATTCGATAAAGTAAGTCACGCTAAGCTCATGCACCGATTACACGAGTTCGGGTTTTGAGGTAACCTTCTCAACTGGTTTTCATCCTACCTCAGCAATCGTACGTTATCAACAGACAACAATTGGTGGAGCAACATCAAGACCTACGTTAGCAGTGACATCCGGTGTACCGCAGGCTCTATTCTCGATCCTTTACTGCTTCTCTTGTACGAAAACCACCTCTCCGAAAGCGTGGGCAACTCCCGCATTGCAATCTTTGCGGACGATACAAAGATCTTTAAAACTGTAAACAACGTGTCTGATGCATCATCGCTACAAGAGGACCCAACACATTTTGAAGAAAACTCCAGCAAGGTAAACCTGATATCAAACGCTCAAAAATGTAAAGTCTTGAGAATAACCAGAAAACACCAGAAAATAGAATATCCTTACAAGCTTCATGATGCTGTTCTGGAAAACACTATTCACGAACGTGATTGGGGAGTGTGAACGTCTTCCAATTTGACTTGGTCCAAACATGTTGAGGACCAATGTGCTCAATCAACCAAAATGCTCGGCTACGTAAGGAGTCTCTGTATTTGACTCTTGTACGCTCAAAACTTTGCTATGCGTCTCAAGTTATAAGGCTTTCCCCATCCCCAACCGGAAAGAGTGAATTCCCGCCATTAACTGTGGTTCTACCAACAATTCAGAACCGGAAGAGAGCAATGCGATCAGCTGACCCCGACTGATCGAAGTTCACCAAACCGAAGTGTAGGACTGCAACATTCTAGAAATCGTTTATATCCAGGTGTGCGAGAGTATGGAATGTTCGGCCAAAAGAGTTGACAACAAAGAACATAAGCTTTGGTTGTTTCAAAAGCGATCTTTATGAATATTACAAATCGGCTCTGAACATTTACGACGCTGGAAATCCTAGAACATGGAAATCTGTATGTTTGTCTTAAGTTCCGTAATTTGTCTTGTTCAAATTCGTGTTGTTATTAATTCTAATGTGTGTCCCTGTGTTCGTCTTGTTAAGCTTCATGGTAGGCTAATTTCCACACACGAAAATTTTCCGCAGGAGTGGACGGCGTTGGAACTAACGACTTTAGCACTATGTAACTTTCCTTTCCGTTCCTATCCTGCGGAAGGTTTTCCTGGGTGGAAACTGGCCTTTTTATATAACTAAATATCTAATGAAGAATGTGTCATGTTCGTTCTGTAAGGGCTGCTGTAATAGACCTTTCCAAGGTTTCTACCGCCATATTGCAGGGGGTGCAAAAACATTGGGGCGAGCGCGCGGCCACCAATGGCGCCCATACTATTTCCTATTGAGTGAGTGAAAATTACCTTTTGACATTTTGTCCTTTTTCTCAAAAAATTTCTATACAAGCATATCCAATTTTTATTTTTAGATAATCTCTGTTTTTTTTCTGATATGTGGCCGAGATTTCTTGCTAATCGAAGGACAGGAAGTAATAAAAAACGGCGGCTTTTATTGTACAACTTGACCGACATATGAGTGATGATTTTTGTACAAATATACAAATATAAACAGTAATAATGGCGGACACCAAAGGACTTACACACTTAATGGACAAATATTCTTCCAAAGATTGGTTAAACAAACGAAATAACAAGAATCATCGCTCAAACGTCGGTCAAGTTGTGCAACAAAAGCCGCCGCTTTTTATTACTTCTTGTCCTTCGATTAGCAAGAAATCTCGGCCACATATCAGAAAAAAACCAGCGATTATCTAAAAATAAAAATTGGATATGCTCGTTTAGAAATTTTTTGAGAAAAAGGACAAAATGTCAAAAGGTAATTTTCACTCACTCAATAGGAAATAGTATGGGCGCCATTGGTGGCCGCGCGCTCACCCCAATGTTTTTGCACCCCCTGCAATATGGCGGTAGAAAGGTCTATTGGCGTAAACATGTAGCATATACCCTGCCATTGATTGATAGTTTGTATATTCTTGTCTAGTTGTAATTTGTGCAGATATGATCATGCGAAATTGGCAAAACATAATAAATAAATAAATACATAAATAAGCAAGCAAGTAAGTAAGTAAATAAATAAATAAATAAATAAACCTGTTCATATGATTAATTAAAATATTGGGCATTTCCATTGTGACGAGGTACCGCGCATCCTTACCACTTTCCTACTGTCACTTCACCATGCATCCTTTCGTGACAAACACAAACATTAGCTGCATGCCAGAATGCAATGTGTTCGTACAGTTCATACACCACCTGATTCACCGGGAATGAAGCTCGCGAAATATCTGCATGCCTTACATTTCGGCCGGGTATTATTTAGCAAGCGGGTTTAATTAAAAACATCTGCGGAGCTGGAGGAGACAGTGTCTTACCTGGATTCTCTGATGCTGTTGCGTTTGGATTTATTTCGGAATCGTTATCCTGTGATTCGCTGTCTAGGATGGTTTTCCCCTTCCTCTGTCTTTTTATGCAGATGTCAGAATCAGCATCTGTTGTATCATCTAATATAGTGTCAAGAAAATACAATTTCAGAGTTTGTTTGCGATGTCACAAAACAGATTGCTAAGGTCAATACAAACCACTGATCTCGTAGTGGTATAAACCAGTAGCAACCAGTACTAACAATATGTTAACTACTCGTTCCGACTCGGAATTTTGCTGCGTCTGTTTGAACATAATTATACTATATATATTTTTTTTAAATTTTATTTTTCCATGTACATTACAATTATTAATACATTATTACAAATTAACTATTTGGGCTAGAGACCTACTAGAAACCTAGACCTACTAGAAACCTTTGAAGACTTTTGTTTCTAGGCCACTAGTCATGTCCTATTTAGATTATTTTACTATTTACAGTAATTTTTAAGATAATATTAAATGCAGAAGAAAAGTCAGTTTATAAGGTATATAAAAGATATTTACAAATTTGAGGCAAGAAGGGTAAATACTGTAGTGTTTACAATATTAAGATAAAGAGATATACTAGTTAGATTATTATATGGTATTTTTTTGCACAATGACAATGTATGGACAGACATTGTCTGCATAAAGAAAGTGTGATTTCTGAATCTATGTATTTGTAACTTGATTTAGTATAAACATAGTCACTCAAGGGTGAGTCACTCAAGGGTCACTCTCCTTGAGTGACTATGGTATAAAATGTTGCTTAATTAGTTTCTTGAAGGTAATTTATGTCTTTCAGATTTGTTTCTAATTTGTTCCACACATCAACTCCTTTATTTGAAAGAGTGTGTACATAATTTGTTCTCTTATAACATTTAAAAAGTTTTGATGCGTTTCTTGTATTATGTTGATGAATTTGGTTGTTTGTAACGAAGTAGTTAGTAAAATATTCTGGTAAATTTTTAAGATGATGATATCGAAACATAAATAAAGCAGTTAAATAATTGTTGATTTTAAAAATATCAAGTATATGTAATTCTTTAAATATAGCCTCAATGTGTTCCAAGTACGACTTAAATGTCATTAGACGTACAATTTTTTTCTGGATATTCATTATTTTATTAATTCGGGTTTTGTATGTGCTACCCCAAATTAAATTTGGTTATTTGGTATACGTAATGTTGACTGACGCATGTTGGTTGGAACATGTTGGATCAGGTTTGCCTTTGTTCAAAATTTTCATCCAACACTGTCGTCCGCACAGGACGATTTTGGAATGGTTTGAGAAGGCCTAAACAATCTATTAACGTTTTCTTCAGTTTTATTTGTACAAGCCGCAGAGATCAATTAGTATAGAGCGCCGTGCAGTCCCGAAATCTACTGACGCGTTCACACTCATTATGGGCCCCATTCTTTCTTAGATGCATGCATGATCAGGCTGAGCAGCATATACAATCAAAACATTAAATCACTCACTAGGGGTATGGCAATAAAATTTTGCTTGTTCTCATTTGAAAGAGCTTTTAACATTGTGTGGGAAACTGTAGTTTCCATTTTTTTCAAATCTTGCTTAGTTCTTGAAATATTCTGAACGAAATTAGCATGATAAACCAATGAACTGCCCGCTGTATTGGATTGCTATGGATATTCGTTTTTCCTCGGCACAATCGGGATGACGCAAATATTTTACCTATAGGTATAGATAGCCAATGGTCATTATGGGGTCACATGTTAAACGGTAACCCCACTAAAACCACCGTTAATTAAATAAAAAATTATCCAAGACGGTGGACAGTTCATCTCGTCGAAATGGATACTCACGTACCACTAACAATGATTACATTTTGTTCATTTGAGATGAAACTTGTTGTATCATGATCCTTTAATTCTGTTGATTTTTCCTGTGACTCTTCATCGCCGTTATCAACTATATAATAAAGCACGTTTACAAACATCACGGACCCCCAAAGATCAGAGCGAGGTCAGCTCTATATCAGTGGCGTGTATCTCATCAGTAGACGACAAAAAACCGGAGACACGGGTCCCCTTGACCTTGTCCATGCAAAAGGATAGTTGTAACATCACTTTTCTAAATCCTCGGTCACTTTGCTTATAAAGCCTACTATCTTTCATATGCATTGTAGTCCTCCTGCAAATATTGTGAAACTGATTCAATATTATTGAAGAATAGCAGATGGCCGACCAAGGCAGCCAAGCATGATAAAAGTATCGGCAAAACACTGTCATTTTTTTATAAGCAAGACTGAAACTATGGACAAAATGTCATCGTATGCATGACGTTTACTATGAATTAGGTGAAACAAGTGTTCATTCACCGTAATTATAGCGCCAATGGCAATGCATCAAAAAGAAGCCATGCAATTTTTAAATTGTTAAAACAATAAATTTGCTTGTTATAGGCAGTATAACGACTACACCTATTGAAATTACAGCATGAATTAGTATTATATGCAGCTGCGTCCACGTGTAATGCACCGTACTGTATATTATTGTTGAACAAGTAGACTATTAGCTATAGCCTGTAAATGGTTGAAAAACAGTACTTTCAATTGAATACATACAGTGAATACATATCGGTAAATTATGATATTTAAAATAAAAGTTATGCTTTAATCAAGGCCGTCTATATGGCTATTTACACTCGTGTCTTGACGCCTTGACACGCGCACGTCTGGGGGTCAGATTTGGCTTCATGAAAAAGATAGCCATTTTATCCAAAGGTAGTGTTCCAGTTAGGGAGTGGTCATTATTTATGGGGAGGGGTTGGGAAATGGGAGGGGGGGGGGGCAAACGAAGTTTTACCCTTATAAATAGGGGGGGTCAAAAAAAGTTTTAACACAGAGAAAGGGGGGGTCATAAAAGTTTTTGATTTCTATAATCACAAATAGCAAAAAAGAAGACTAGTACTCTGAAAATGCTATTTCCAACGATCTAGAGACTCAAAATGTTCAAAATTTCCCTGCTCGGCGCCAACCATGGTGGCACCGAGCGACCGTTGAGCCCACTAAGTTTAACAAGCTTTCTACCTCCTGAGTGACCCAGTTGTGGTATTTACATAAACATACCATGCAAGTACACTTAACTGATCAGATTCGGTCTATCAACGCACAATGTAACGCTGTATATCCAAAAATCTGTTTCAGAAAATTCACAGAGGAAAATGCTCACATTTCAATTCTAGGGGTGGAAAAATAAAAAAAATTTTCTGGGGGACAATACCCCCAGACCCCCTACTAGTACATACGATACCACACCAAACTTTTTGTCACCAACAACCATCTGTCATCTCTCCACACTCAATATAGTATGGTCCCTTTTTGTAGATGCCCACCCCCCAGACAAGTTCTTAAAAAAACCCTGTGTTCAAATCATTTCGCTGTATGAAGACGGGTCATGGGTTAGGGTTATGGTAGGACAAATGTTGCATTGCAAAGTAGTAACACATAATATATATTTTTAATCATATATGGTTGAATCATATTCACCAGGGTAAAACATCATGAGCTAGATTAAACAGATTGTCCTAATATCTAACTTTAGCTGCAACGCACACCTGTTTCATTGCTGTTAATTTTTCAATCCACACTGGGGGGGGGGTCAGAAAAGTTTCTACTTTTATGAGGGGGAGGCACAAAAAGTTTGCCTTCAGTCTGGAGGGGGGGGGGTCAAAAAAGTTTTCAATCCTTATTTTCCCCATTTCCCAACCCCCCTCTCCATAAATAATGACCACTCCCTTATCAATTCCAGGGCCGTAGCAATCGGGGGGGGGGGCTGGGGGCTGCAGCCCCCCCCCAATAATTTGCTAATAATCATTCGTTTTTCAAAATCATGCAGACCTTTATCATTTAATCCGTGACAAAATGCAAAGCATGAAGGTATTACCCATACTTTCCTGCAGTTAACTGATTCAATATATAGTTAATTAAATACGCTTTCGCCCATTTAGTATTACTAAATTGTAAATTTCGACATACTAAAACGCTGTTTTCGGACTATCATAATTCTGTCAAATCTTCCCCCAAAGTCCAGGAAATGGCGTTTCAGAGACTCTAAATTTAAAATTTTCTCGGGCCTTCGTCCCTCGCTTTCAGCCCCCCCCCCCCCAATCGAAAAGAGTTTCCTACAGCCCTGAATTCGTTTCAATGAATTTTAATAATGGATATGTGTGCGCCAAAATGCGGGTCTAATGCTCGATGTAAAATAGTATATACATCAAATTAAAGACACCGCGAAGCATAGCCTGCGTGGCAGGCGGTTTTAGGGAGGCGAAGGAATTTTTCTTTGCCTCCCTAATTTTCGCTGCCCGTAGAAAAACCGCCTGCCACGCAGGCTACGCGAAGCATAAAAATGGCGCCAAGCACTCCCCAAGCAGAAGCTATATGATGTACGATAAAAGCTCTAGTGTCTCTAGTGGTTTGCAAACCATTTAACGGAAATAAATCACGAACGTAACTGTTTCTGGATAGTAACAAAATTTATTGATATACCTGATTCTTCCATAGACTCGTCGACTAAAAAACTGTCATTCAGCCAATCTTCCGTAAATTTTCGTTTCTCCTCGTTCGACCATTTGTCTGTCCAGCCATCGGCAATACTGCCATCAAATATCCAACCATTGCCATTGGCCATCAATACCACTGAGTATTTGTACTCATTTGAATCTTACTACCGACATGTTCTACAGATATAAATTCTAATAGAAGAGGTTTTATACAAACTTCAAGGGAAAGCAGTTAATCTTAAAAGAAGTCTAGACTTAGTGCTTTATAATGATATAGACTGTCTATAGTTTGAACTATTCTTAATCACTCTGCAGAGTCCGTCTCGTTCATTTTGTATTCAGGTGATATGGATGACATTCTATAGACTATACTAGTGTATATAGATCACCATATAGACAATAGTGCTTCTTGCCCGAGTTACAGAAGACTGCGGCTAGTTCTCTACTTGAGTATATATAGTATACTGTATATAAAATAATATATTCTCGATGACGATGTTGACAATCAAGACGAACAAAAGGGAGTCAGTCACATTCAGTTTGTGGTGTTTAGTGAAAATTTAAAAAACAATTTCGCTTACCTGCAATACACCAATTCGAATATGTGATTTTCGGCTGTGTTGACTGTTGTGTTTATTAATATTTAATCACCATCCTGAAGAGAATGAACATTGTCAATTTGTCATGGACATTCAAACATTGAAAACAAGCTGAAATTTATAAACAACTTGCATGCGGCAGGGCCTTTCAAAGTCACTCGAGTGGATAATTATGCGTAGCCAGAGCAACATCATAGCCCAACATAATTACATAATTATGTTGGGCTATCATGTTGCTCTGGCTACGCATAATTATCCACTCGAGTGACTTTGAAAGGCCCTGCCGCATGCAAGTTGTTTATAAATTTCAGCTTGTTTTCAATGTTTGAATGTCCATGACAAATTGACAATGTTCATTCTCTTCAGGATGGTGACTAAAACATCACACGAGTACATATACGAGTAACACACAAGTACATACGAGTAACATACGAGTACATAACATACGAGTAACATACGAGTACATAACATACGAGTAACATACAAGTACATACGAGTAACACACGAGTAACATACGAGCAACACACGAGTACATACGAGTAGTAATTTACGAGAATTAGCAGACGAAATTTCTTTAAAGTTTCTTTCACACTTTCACTTTGGCTTCGTATTATGGATCGTGACTAAAACACCACACAAGTACATACGAGTAACATACGAGTAACACACGAGTACATACGAGTAACACACGAGTACATACGAGTAACACACGAGTACATACGAGTAAAATACAAGTACATACGAGTACATACGAGTAGAATACGAGTAAAATACGAGTAGTAAACTTGTTTTTAGTGTTTGTAGATTGAATACAGGCAAAAAGATCGTCTTCTCTGTCGAAAAACGTGGAATGGGGGAACGGGGAATGGAGGAACAGGGAATGGGGGGAACGGAGAACGGGGAATGGAGGAACGAGTAACGGGGGGGGGAATCGAGCAATTATAATTATTATTAATACGTAATATTAATCATATGTACGGGGGGAACAGAACAGAAAAAAAGAAACAGAAATTCGACAGGATAAACGGGAATCGGGGAATTACGAAACTATAAAACGGACTCTGTTGTCTTGGGAATTAGAAAACCGCTCAATGAATTAAAACTAGTAAAGAAATTTGGCGAAGCTTTCCTTTATTAGCACAGCGTATCATAAAAAAGTCAATCCACATTGCTTATGTCCGATCATTAAGTAATATTAATAATAATAACATTGCTTATGTCATTACTAATACACTTGCTATATAATAAAACAAACTTAAGGACTAGATGCAAGCCCAAGGCGGTCCTTATGCTCCATATGATATCTTAAAGTGATTATCCTATTTTAAATATCTTACAAAGCAAAACTAACAAAACACAAAATACTTCAAAATACGCAGATTTTAAGCTAGCAATTTAAGTTGGCAAGTACGTTTCTAAAGGACCCAGCCGAACTCTCCTGCAAGCCTTTGGACGTGCTCCACCTTGAAAAGGGAAGGAAAGTCTGGAGGAACGAGAACGTCGCCAAGAAATTTGGATACTTTGCTCTGATGCAGGCTGATCGGAAATGAAAATGCACGTTCTGAGGCTCACTTGAAAACTGGATTTGTCCTGCAGGGCCTTTTTTAACATACAAGCTGGGGGCCATTCCCCCCCAGTCTCCCCTTGTGCCCCCTCCCCCACGAAATCACATTTGCCCCCCCCCAAGAAAAAGTCCCTTTTTCCTAAATTTATACAAACAAACCAACGAAGAATAACAAATTGATAAACGAAACGTAAGTTTTAGGCTTTATCCTTTGTCCTTGTTTAACAAAATCGATTTAAAGGACTGTGTCACCGCGTGCGCATCCTACGTGTTTCTAACAATAAGTAATGATAAATTATTGTTAATATTTTTTAAATTCTTTGTGCGTTTTTTCCTTCTTTTATTTCAAATAGAAGTATAGTTAGGATAAATTTTAGAGCAAATTTAGATGCTCAGACGGCAGGAAATGGCATTTTTGGGCTTCAAATTTCAAAATGTTTCTGGAGAAGTATGCCCCCACGGTATGTCGGCCACACACGTGACCC